TACTTTTTTGTTGTTTTTATAAAACTTTTTTATTGGAATTTTTTCACAAACAAATCATGGAGATATATATCTTTTTAAGACATATATCTTTTTATTACAGAGATACATCACTTATAGGTTCCTAAACGAGACACTTAATTAATTTAAAAAACTACTATTCGCCCCCTTACATACCCCACCCCCCGCGCCGGCGCTCGGACTTACCCAGCCAGGGAGTGTTGATGTGTGCACTGCAGGGGGCGGGGCGGGACGTGTGACACACACACGCCTCCTGTGACTCACCTCCCCTCCCGCCTCCTGTTACTATGGACGCGGCCGGGAGGGGAGGTGAGTCACAGGACCCGCCCCCTCACTGTGAAGCCCGTCGGCAGTGCGGGGCCCCGGTGTTCGAACACCGGGACCCTGCACTGCCCCATATTGCAGGACCGTACCTGCACTGAGACTGTGCGGCCCGGTACCATTTGATCCGCGGACCGGTACCGGTCCGCGGACCGGGGGTTGGGGACCACTGGTATACACGTTCACCTTTTTTTAAAACAACCAAGATTTTAGATTGATTTCAGATGGATTTTTATTAAAGCGTATCTCCAGACAAAACGTATTTTTTCAGTTTTGAATAGAGAGGGAAAGAGTTACAATCGCTGCGTTTTTTTATCTCTCTCAGGGGCTACGTTGGGGAGATTCTCCTCCCTTCCTGTCCAGATGTCATTAAGAGGATAGTGAGCTGAAATATACAGCAATAAAAAATGCTTTTTAAATGTAGAGTAGGAAAACACTGGATCCTCCATCAGCTATTTATTGCTGTGTGTATTCTCACTGGATGTTTTCCCTCACTGCCTGTTTTGGTGACAATGTTGTTACAAGGACAGTAAGGGGAAATCTCCCCTGTGTAGCCTTGGTTTTAATAGTGGTTTTAATTCTTCCCCTTCTATGCAAAACTAAAAGAAAAAGGATTTGCTGGAATTACACTTTAAGATCCATCTTTGTGTCTAAGTGGTTAATACAGGAAAAAATGAAATAGATAACTTAGCTTCTCACCTGTGCAGTCCCCTGATAAAGATAGCTGATAGCCAGGCTCACAGTCACTTATACACTTGTAGGATCCTGGTGTGTTCTGGCATCTCATAGATCCACAGATGGAATCCCCATATTCCAAACACTCATCTATATCTAAAAAAGAGAGACGGAAAAATGTAAAATATAATTAAGTGACACCAAACTAAGTGTTAAATCTCAACAATGCATTCAAGTACCCTAACTAAAAATGATATTATTTGTGGCTTGGCTGTAGATCGTCAAATCAAGAAAGTAATGAGAAAACCAAAATTTTACAGTTGTCACTGGAATAGGAGTAGAAGAAACACCTTCCAAAAGGGACCCCTGTCCTTGTTATACCTAGGAGGGGATTTTTTTTTGTCTTTGGTGAGATTTCTTCTTACTTCCTGTTGTGTCTCTCTAACAGAAAGTTAGTAAAAATCGCTCCAAAGACAAACAGATATCATACACAAACCCAGTAGATGTAGGAATTGAAGCGCCACACCAAATAAAGTAGGCCAAATACAGCTTTATTCCATCACAGGGGCGAGCTTTACAACACACACAGAGACCATGTGGAACAAAAGTAGCCCCCCTCCAGAAGGAAGGACAGTGTCAGCACCAATTCAGAGATGATTTGAGGATCGACACCCTAACTATTAACAAAAATGTATCTTATTTGTGCCGAGTGATACACAAATAAGATACATTTTTGTTAATATTTAGGGTGCTTGAATGTGTAAGATTTAACTCCTGAGTTTAGTGTTACTTTAAGGGCTCGTTTGCACTAGCCTCCTTGTGCTGTGTTGGACAGCTTTGCCCAAGCCCAAATTAGCAATGGCAGCAGTCATTTTAGGTTGACTTTAAAATGAATCATCTTTGGGGAATTAGTGTCTTCCCCTAAGCAGCTACCCAGTTTTAATGTCAAATTATGTGAGAAAACCAAAGGCTTAAGAGGTGAGCCCATTGACCACCCCTGGCTGTATATTAATCCAGCTACTCCCTATCCCCATCAGCACCACTTTCTGTTAAAATATATCTAAAATAAAAACATACTTAGTTTTAGATAGAGTAGGAAAGGGTATGAACCCCTGTGTGGTAGAATTACTGTTTTTTCTAGTTAACATTGTCACAGGGAATGAAAGTGATGGTTAATTAAACTTTTTTAAGCTGTCATCAGAACAAAAATAAAGAGGAACCATTTCAATGGGCAAAATTGATATGCGACAACTGTCTAAGATGCCATTAAAGGAGAACTATGGGGTCAGTGTTTTTCCCCATAGTTCTCCTTGGGGTAACGGGAGGACACAAACTAGCGTCCTCCCGTCACCCTAAGCTCAGTATACCGCGAGCTACAGCTCGCGGTATACTGAGACGCCGCACCTGGAGCGGATCCCGACTTAGATGACGGGATCCGCCCAGCTGCGTGAGTGACAGCTGGCTCTGCCTATCTAGAGGCAGAGCCAGCTGTACCCGCCCCCTCCCCCGCTCCGATCTGCCAGCGCTGACTGGCGGAACGGACGGGGGAGGGGAATCCAGCCCCTCCCCCTGTCATGGCAGAGAGCCGTGACAGGATCGAGAGGTGAGGGAACCCGGTATGTGTTCCCTTACCTCCCGATCTACTGAGCCGACCTGTGACAGTCTCATTGTCACAGGTCGGCTTAGAACTATGACGTGAGTGGAAATCACTCATATCATTTAACCTCCCTTTGAAGAGATTTACTGTCACTTCTTGTCGTCTATACAGAGCAAGAAATTAAGCAAAATGGCAAAAAGATGGCAAAAAAGCATGCCAGGTGTTTTAACCATTCCCCACTCTTCCCAAAATAAATATAAATCTTTTTGTTTCCATTAAAAGCAGGTAAGCTATTTGCAGACTCAAATTCTCCACAACATCTAAGTATGTGATATTTAAATGAATGGGTTGAGCTAGAAACTCTGACAATCATTTATTAACGTTTACATTGATGGCTTAGATAAGAATGACTTACCCACACAATTTTGTCCCTCGCTGGACATTTCATGACCCCAGTTACATGTACATCGGTAAGAGCCAATCAGATTCTCACAAATGGCATTTTCTCCGCAGATAGTTGAATTGGCGCACTCATTAATATCTGTAGAAATAAGAATATATTACATTATTCATCTTTACACTGCTGTCTTTGAAGAATAGTTTTATTTTCCTTAGCAAAGATGAGCAACAGAATTCATATTGCCATTGTGGCCCAAGTCTGGTGCATAGACAGCAACGTATTTTGCACTTACAGCAGAGGATGTCATAAAATTCTGAACTAATCTACTAGTGTCCTTTTCTTGTCAGAAGATTAATAATAATGAACTGTACCCTACTACAGATACCTATTCATGTGCAGATTATCTGCAGAGAAAGGTTATTTTAGACCATAACTGGTAATTGGCCAGTACTTGAATATAGCAAAATCAGGATGGAAAATTAGATTGTTCGAGCGTTGTGTCCAAGTATGTATGTAAGTAGTGGTATGTATTACCACTTAAGTTGCTGTCCCCTAAGTATATGATTGGTTAGCTCCTACACACATATTTGTCAATTACAGCCACTGTCATTGATGGCTTCTCGCTGCTCTAGAAAAAGTCTTAAGTCTTAAAGGACCAGTCCACCCCAAGCTGAGTTTCCATTTATTGGTTGATACTAAAATGTTAAACAGCCTGACAATTTTATTTCGACAATCTGACTTTATTTTGAACTGTATAATGGAGAATGTAAAAGAAGGAAATAGAACATGGAAATGTAGGAATGACCACCCAAAATTCCCAGATAGGCAGGAACAGAATTGGGAATTATGGCACACAGAGATTGCTGTTGGAGTATCCAAGGCAAATAGAAAACTATGGAACAGCTGATCCCACAAGGCTCCATATATAACTAAAATACCACATTATTAAAGACTAATCCTTTAAGACGCCGGATCTACGCATGTATGGGCAAGTTTGAAACCCAACTCCAGGCACCAAAATGTTCACATGTTCACCTTTGCTGTGTAGTAATGTAATGCCAGTGCTCTTAGAGTTCTTTTAGTTTTGCCAGATTTGAAACATCAGTGCCAATGTTGTGTTTGTACCTCCATCTATGGTTGACCATTGACAAAATGCTGCCTGTGATGTGGCGGCTGCACTTTATGTGAATAACCAAGCGTAGTTGGGGACAGATACAACACCAGCACTGGTGTGTACAAGACCTGCAATGGTGATATTGGAGGCTACAGGGCTGGATTAACATAGAGGCTACTGGAGGACCAGGTCCAGCCCCACCACTGAAAATAGGCGCCGGGCGGCTCACTAATGAGGCATACTGTTGGCGCTATATAAATCCTGTATAATAATAATAATAGTAGGCGGCCGCTGATGCTCCAGGCCAATGATGCTCTTAATCAGGCCCTGGGAGGTGGAATGGTAGAAAAGCGAGACCCTGTTAAGCTGTATAAGTAACACTGACATTATTGCACAGCAGAGGTAAACATTTTAAAGCTATGAAATGTATGGTCTCCAGACTAGGACTTCAACATTGTTAGTAACACAGGATCTCTTGATCAGAAGAGTTGAAGGAAAAACTGTTCTTCCTGCCTATAGCACATCTTCATGCTTCTACTAGATTAGAAACATACAAGGGGGATCATTTTACCTGCACAGTCACCAGATGCAGTCAACTTGTACCCAGCATCACAAGCTGCTATACATTTATAGGATCCCAATGTGTTTTCACAGGTTTGAGTTCCACAGATAGATGGTCCTCTCTCCCGGCATTCATCAATATCTAGAGAGAAAACAACAAAGTCAATATTTGTCACATAATCAGGGAAAAAGCTAAAAGGTGTGAACTCATAAAAAAAATAGCATTGTAGAAGCGTATTGGTTTATAAAAAAAAAGTAGAAGACTTGGTTAATATCTTATTGATACCACCCTAATAAATCATTAAACCAAACTTACAAAAACTAAGCTATTGTTGTGACATGTCGGGGGCTGGACTTGAAGCCCTCCATATTTACAAAATTGACCACCATTACCATAGAGATTCTGCCCAACCTCACCTGCACAGCTGGATTTGTCAGCAGTGGCTCGAAGTCCTGTAGGGCAAGAACACTGGAAAGACCCAACGGTATTGGTGCAACGGCCTCCTTGGCAGAATGTTCCCTGCTGACATTCATCTTTGTCTGCACAGGTAGAAAAAAGTTAAAAGTATCAAAATTTCCTATCCACATCCTGCTATTTATTTTTTATTGCACTAGCAAATTCCACATGGCTTTACGGGGGACATAGACCCTTCATAGTCTCTGCTACTTAGCATAGTCTCTGCTACTTTGGAACTTTCAGCATCATTTGTGCGTACAGTTACACAGGCGTACATACTAGGGGTCTATAACCTGGCATATGTGTTTGGATTATTGAACGACATTATAGATCAGGGGTAGGCAAACTCCAGCCCTGGGTGCAAAATTAGGCAGTGCAAGACTGACAGCAACAGGCATTACTCCCAGAGGAATATGCATGATGGAATTTGTAGTTTCACTACAGCTGGAGGGTCAGAGTTTGAAGAACCTGAAAGCAACTAAAGGCATCTTTAGGAAAACGAGGAAACTATATGTGAAAACCTGATCTATTACTCTACAGTGCCTTCAGCTGTGGTCAGTGAAGGGGTTCTGTTATATCACTGTATGATTTTATCTGCCTTTGAGGTTCATGAACGCTTCTGTTCGCGAACAATTCAGTTCGAAATTTTGCTTCCGTTCGCAAACTCTACATCGGGTGACGAACACAACTACTTCCCCGCTCTGACACTGGTTGTGGCTTCATCTAGTCGAGATCGCGGTCTGATCACAGTTTGATTCGGTTCGCGACCAATTCGGTTTGCGACCAATTCGGTTCGCGACCAGAATCGTAGAACTAATTAAGTTCGTGAACCGAGGTAGCACTGTAATTCCCTGTTCTCTATAGATTATAAGGTAGAATGAGAATGAATCTCATAAGTTTTTTTTAATATATAAGCTTATCCTTGTTATTGATTTGCAAAACAGAACCACATACTTTAAAGTATGGACTTTTCACTACCATGTCCTGTTCTGGTCCCAGCAGTGTTTATGTCCCTTGTGCTTCCAGTATCCCATTCAAAGTAATACATAGGCTGGGTCATACCATGCCATTTCTTCCATAAATTAGATGCATGTGCCTAAAATAGCCATTAATCTCTTTGCCCAGGCCTGGTGCATCTGTGACTTTTCACTGGCATGCACAAAGGGCGTAAATACTGGGAAGGCCATGCTGCTGAGAAGTGTCCCTTGTCTGCTTCAGGGGTCTGTACTACCTTATAGTCTGATGGGAAAGGGGCAGGACACAAAACAGAAAGGACATAAAAACATCTACGTTAAACTCTCAATGTCCAAGTGCCAATAAAAACAAAACTATGATAACAGCTTAAGATGGGGAAATACATTTGATGAGCCTTCAAGCTTGAAATGCTGGAGCAAATGTACAGTTTCAAGTACTTGACAACCACCATCAGCTAGGATAGAAGGATGTAAGACAAGATTAACTGCAGAACAGCTGTTTATATCAGGACAATATTCACATTATTAATAAGGGTTCTGTTGGGAAGAAGGAAATAAGTAAAATAACTAAGCTGGCTGTGCGTCATTTGGTCTTGACACTACCCTTACCTACAGTTATGATTTATAGACTATATAGCAAGGACATGAGTTGAATTCAGTCAGTGGTGATGCCCTACTTCAGACTGATAGGAAAGAAGACTAACTGGGATAAAAATTAGGGATCTAACTATTAAGTGAAATGGATGTGGCCCCCACAGAAGACATACAGAGAAAAAGGTTTGGGCATAAATGAAGCAGCACTAAAAAAGCAGCAGACAACAATGGTGTACAATGGAAATGAGCAATGACATCTAGAAATCGAATGAACTGCTAGTGTTTTGCAAATCCCTGACACATGTATGAAATAAAGAAAAAATTAAAAAAGAGGCTGATCATACCAACGCATGATGATCCATCTGGACTGGTGACATAGCCCTCTGCACACACACATCTGTAAGAGCCCTCTGTGTTCTGGCATTCACCACGTGGAAAGCAGTATTCCCCTTCCAGACATTCATTAATGTCTGTAAGAAACCAAGTAAAAGGTTAATACAATAGCCATATATGACGGGACATCTACAAGAGAGGATTGTTACTGCTGCAAAGAGACTACTGATCATTCCAGAAGGTTGGTAACATACGTTCCACAGCTGATAACACTAGACACTTTACCACTATGTAATATTGTATCTTCTTCTCGTTCACACTTTTAGGACAGTGGTACCTAACCATTTTTCATGTACCCCATGGCAGTCTATTTGCATAAAGTGCACCACTCCATGGGGGTGGAGCGGAGGCTGTAGTAAGAAAGTGGGGCTAATAGCAGTGCGGGTATTACGCCACAATGAATGGTGGGTGTGGCCAAATTGTGGGAGGGGAAAATGCCACTGTGTTAGTGTCAATGGGAGTGATGGAGGGAGCTGGGAGGCTGGGGTGCAGGGCACTTTAGTGTATGCCATTTTGCAACAGTGTGTCAAGTGTATTCTTGGGACCTCTTTGGGGTGTGGTCTGTGACACTGGATTCCCTGGATCTGGGATGCCTCTTTAGTTTTGGGGCCATTGTGGGTAAAAGCAGGTCTCATGTGATTTGAGGCTCCTTAGTAGACTGGCAGCCAGTACAACCCTGAGGAGAGATGGGTCAGGCCGATTCTAGTGCAGCTCAGGTCTAAGGTTTCTTGTCCTAGTACTCAGAACTCAAGTCTCAGGACTTAGCGGTCACAGTCTCTCTCCTACTCCCTTTCCCCTTCACGCCAGATTGCAGAAGACAGCATTCGCTCTACACTCAGCCAAGGAGTGATTGAGGTGTCGGCAGCCAGAACTATAGATTAAGTGTCAGAAAAACCAGCTACGGAATTGTTCTTCGGACCTTCTGCACACAATTAAGTTCCTGACTCCCCACTGCCACAGCCTTTTTCTGTCATTGCAAAATCAATTAAATCAACTCTTCTACTAGTCTTTTCTTATACATTTTGTAGATCTCCTATGTATGCCAATAATAGTTGGTCTAACCTGTACACCGAGTTCCATCGCTGTTCAGACGGAAGCCTGGCACACACTCGCATTGGAAAGAGCCATCCGTGTTGATACATTTGCCATTTGGCCCACAAGTGGAGGCTGTCTGACACTCATTGATATCTAGACAGAGAGATACATAATGGAACTGTTTGCTCTCATCACTTCAGTGGCAAAACTAGAAAGTTCTTTAGTCCTTGCAGTCTGAGACAGTACATCAATAATCAGGCCCTTACCCACACAGCGCCGGTTCTGAAGTCTGTACCCAGGACGACACTGGCGACACTGAAATGATCCTGGAGTATTGACACATTCTTGACCTGCACAGGCTCCAGGATTCTCACACTCATTTATGTCTGTTAGATGAAATTAAACATTGTACTGGTAATTGTTTCCATGGAAGTTGGTCCACAGTTGCAGTCCATGTCAAGGCAATACAAACTCCTAGTTTATGTAAAGAAACAATACTGAATATTTGTATATTCAGTATATGATTTTGTTATTACCAACTCACATGTTTCACGTGTTATACAATTAAGTCCATTAAAGTTTACGTATCGGCAAAAACTTTTTACAATTTTGGATGAGGTGTTGAAGGGTTTAAATCCCTGTTTTTGCTGTATATATCCTGCTAAGGAGATTTCCCTTAATTTCCTATCCCGGAAATGCAACAGGAAAGGAGATAAATCTCTGCAATGTCTGTTCTAGTGACAACTGCAAAATGCTGGATTTACAATCACTTTCTGTCTGGATGAAGAGACACAGGACAATAAAAGAGGTCACATCTCTCCAGAGGTAGCAATACAAACTTAACAAGGGTTCTAATTCTAATCCTTCCCCAATTTATTCAAACTAAAAAAATATTTGGCTAGACATATACTTTTATCACTCATTTCCTAGGCAGTGAGTGCCTTCTGTAGCCCAGTGGTATATCCTATCAGAGTAGTGTTCGGCACCCATTGTGACATTGAGTAAAAGTGGTGGGGTGGCTTCTTGCTATTTCAAATCTGACGAAAAAGATAACTCTGCTTAGAAAGCAGTCATATGGACAGTCTATGGTCATTGATATGTATGAAATGTTACATGCCCTTTAAGTGCAAATCAAAGTCACTAAGACATACATTTCATACATCTGCTCCACTAAATGTAGATATAAACCTCAGATGTGCCAATAACAATAAGACGTGGCCATGTAACCTTACCAATGCAGTCATTGCTTTGTGGGTTCAGCCTGTATCCAACAGGACAAGAGCAGCGGAAACTGCCAGGAGTATTGAGACATCTTCCTGATCCGCAAGGGCGCGGTGTTTGCCGACACTCATCGATGTCTGCAGGAGGAATGCTGTGTTAATGTGTTTGAAAATTATTTAAGGATAATACTGGTCTGAAGAAAACATTTTCTCCTCAGCCCTGTGTATGCTCTGACTTATGGTCCCCACACACCTTACGATAATCGTACGATAATCGCGGGAAATCCCGCGATCGCACGATTATCGTAAGGTGTGTGGAAGCCGTGCGACCTCTACTACTGTAAGGTCGCACGACTTTAAACTTACAAACATGTTTCAAAACCCGCCGAGCATCGTACGATGTTCGGCGGGTCTGTAGCATTTTCGCAAGATAAAAGCCGGTGGGGCCGGTGTGCGCAAGCGCACACTGCACGTTCGGCATTGCGGTCATCGGAAGCCCGCCCCTCGGGACGTGGCTTGCGATCATCGCAAGTACGATCTGCCTATGCAAGATAGGCAGATCGTACGTTTTTTTAAGTACCTTACAACCATCGCAAGACAAAAGTCTTGCGATGGTTGTCAGGTGTGTGCCCCGCCTTAGAATATCATTCAACTTACCATAGTTGGCCCTGCTGGCTTACTCAATCGACTTTTGTCTACAGAGCCAGGCCAAAAACTGTCGGCTGAACGGTGACTGCAATTCCAGTCACTGGTGTGAACAGAGCGCAGAAATACCATAGGAATACATTAGGATACATTTCAGGTGCGGACAAAAAACGCTCTGGTCTGCATCTGGTGTGAACAAGCCCTTAGATTCATTTTAGGTTGCCTGTTCTATTTTTTAGAAGAAGCATAAGATGAAATATTACATTTCATTTATGCATGTAAAATACCTTACCACACATGCTGAAATTAATTCCCCTAAAAAATCACAATGTTTCGGGTATCTGTAATGTACCCACATGTTAAGCTGGCCATACACCTTACAATTTATCTGCAGATTTTCTGTGGTCAGATGGAAAAGGTGCAACAGATTCCTCCATCTACACTTAACTGTGTGGATGGAGTAATCTCTACCTGGGCCAATCTGTTGCACTTTTTCCATCTGACCACAGAAAATCTGCAGATAAATTGTAAGGTGTATTAGCACCTTGAGAGTGTATACATTCTATCTTGTTGTTGTGTTCTTTTTATTAGAGCGGTCTGCTTCACACTTCATTGAATTAGCTGATCTCAGCTGTAGTTAGTGCCAATTCAAAAGCAAAGGAAAAAAAAAAAACTTTAAATATTAGTTGACTTAGCCGGGAATTGAACCTTGGACGTTAGCAATGGGAATCCTGTGCTGTAACCTCTACACTATAGCCTCTGTACTTTAATCATACATGTGTTGTAGAGGTAAAATGGTGTCAATGGTGCAAAGAAATTCGTCCAATAACGAATTTCGGGAAAATGGGAATTTCGGATTCGTTTGCATTCGTCTTAGCTGTAATTCGGAATTCGGATGCATCCGAATCTCCGAATTTCCAAAAATTCATCCAAAACGAATTTCGGAACGAACCGAATCGCACATGTCTAGTAGTTAGTGAAGTTGAAATATACACAGTCTTCCTGTATGTGGATTTAAACCTTGGACAGTATACTGTAGCGATAATGGATGCAGTGCTTTACAGAACATAGAAATTGTTAGGTTAAGTATCCTTTGTGCAGCACAGAATATTAATTAATCATTTATTTCAGGGCTTTTTTTTAACCTATGTATAACGATAAACCATTTAATTTCATGCTCACCTTGGCAGTCTGTGCCTTGTGCATTGGCGGAATACCCTGCCCGACAGACACAATGGTAACTTCCAGGTGTGTTCTCACATTGGCCATTCAGGCACAGGCGTCTGGGAGTCAGGCGGCACTCATCAATGTCTACAAAGATGGGTAGAAATGTATTCTGAGGTGACCTAATATTACACCAAGTTCAGTACCTTCAGGACTGGACAATTAGGCCTTATTGACATGCTGCTTGTTGCCCCAGACAGCATAAAGGGCTGTTTTTTTATGCGTCCGGAGCTGTGGGAAGAAGTGTTCAGGCAGCTCATGTAACTCTAGGTAGACACGGGAACTGTGCTTTCTTACATCCTGCTTCCCGCAGCTCTGAGTTTTAACAGCCACTCAAGGTGTACGCACCTGAATGCATTATGTCTGTGTGTAAAGCTGGCCATACACCTTACAAATATCTGCAGATTTTCTGTGGTCAGAGGGAAAAGGTGCAACAGATACCTCCATCTACACTTAACTGTGTGGATGGAGTAATCTCCACCTGGGCCAATCTGTTGCACTTTTTCCATCTGACCACAGAAAATCTGCAGATACTTGTAAGGTGTATGGGCACCTTAAGGCTATATACTATCTGTGTGTGGCTGTCAAAACTTGGAGCTGTTAGAAGCAGCATGTGAGGGGCGCACAGCTCCTGCACCTCCATAGAGTTTCGTGAGCTGCCCACGTCATTCTTCCCGCAGCTCTGAGTGCTCCAAAAACTGTCCCTTCATGCTGTGTGGAGCAACACACCTCGTGTGAATGAGGGCTTATGCTCAAAGCACAACTCCACGACATACTGTCTGCATCTAAACTAACCCAATAACATTGTCACAGTGCAGTTTCAGAAAAATAGCAAGTCATTGTGTGGCTAATTTTTCCCCCTTGTTCATGCGGCCTTTAAAGGTGTCTTAACAATCATCCACATGTACAAGAGAAGAAAAAAAAATAAAATAACTGTGGCTATATTTAAAGATCTAAACATCTTTGCCATTATAAACTAAGGAATCTTTGTGTCGAGACTGTAATCTAAAATAAGTGATCTTATATTCAGTTCATATGTAATATGCAGGATATTATATAGTATACAGATCATTAAATATAATCATGAACATCCTTATAAAGATTAGGGATGAGCCGAGTGTTCGATTCGAACATGAGTTTGATTCGAACATCGTCAGTTCGAGCGCTCGCTGAATGCCGAACTTTATTGAATGTTCGTGGTTTGTTAGACCGCGGACATTCCATAATGCAAAATGCCCACTGAAGCTCTGATTTGTTAACGTTTTGCACCTGGCCACAGGTCAGGTGCAAGACTTTGCCCAATCAGGCCTCAGCAGAGGAGTGGCCTGAAGGAGAAAGTTCTCTATCAGGTCTCCCCCATGCTGATTGACAGCAGGCAGTGGGCGGGTGCAATAGCCAGCTTGCTATTGGCTATTGCATTTTACAATATCCAATAGCAGGCTGGGTATCTCTCCCAGCCTGCAATGCAGAGGGGCGGGGCAGAGGAGCCGCGTCCGGATCGGAGAAGAAGCCGACGGACCAGGGGACCGGAGGCCGGGACAGCAGCGGAGGTACCGGGGGCAGCGAAGGCATGTAGCGGTCTGTGTCCCCGCTGTCTCCGCCAACACAGGCGCGGAGAGCAGCGGGGATTTGAGGGGACACAGGCTGCTGCAGCCACAGTTCGCCTAAATGTACCGGTAGCTGCCGGTACATTTAGGAGAACTGTGGACCCGGTTCGTAAGTACAGATTGTCCATAACCCGGGGACTGACTGTATAAGCCCTCTTAAAGGGGACATTCGTTTTCGAACGTTCGACCCCCATTTACTTGCATTGAGTTCGAGTTCGTATTCGAACTTTTCGGCCGTTCGAATACGAACCGAACACGAGGGTGTTCGGCTCATCACTAATAAAGATCAACTAGGGAGATGGTTAAGCTTGGTCATGTGCTAAAGCAAACCTATGCTGATAGAAATATGGAGGCTCCCACTGCTGCCCTCTCTTGAAAATGCTAGCTGCCTGGTGGTCATTCTGACCCTCTGGCTTTAACACTTTAAGTCACTTACCCAAGTCACTCACTCAGCAGGTATACAGATAAAGACTTCTGACCTTGTGTTTAATTTTATTTTCAGAAGCAGGTCAAAAATACCATGTTAGCTGCTCATCTGTCATGCTAACCCTCTTCATTGCTTTGAGTCACTGACCTGGACTATAAATGAAGGGGGTCAGAAATTATTTGTTTGATTTGCATGCATTTGGTCAGTGACTCAAAACAAATTGAAGCCACTGAAAAAACATGACAGCCAGCAATTAGTATTGTTAGAAGATCAGCACTTGTAACCTTTATATGTCTCTGTTCTTTTAAGAAGCCAGCTAGGAGATTATGTAAACTGTTGCAACCAGACATACATGTGCTGCAAATTAATTGTACATATTATATTATTATACACATTAAGAATACACACCTCACTGATTAATATAAGTAATGGCCTTGTCTTTTTCTTGCCTCACTTTTACAAAATTCAATCACATTTTTTTTTGAAAATCTGAAGACAATATACTTTGTTAGCAGATACATTACCTACACACGCCTTGCCCTGTGCGTTAAGGCTGAAACCTGCTGGGCAGACACACCGGTAACTGCCAGGAGTGTTCTCACACCTACCATTGGTGCAGAGTTGTTGTCCACTGTTACACTCATCAATGTCTGGAAAGAAGATTCAGCTGGTCAGTGGAATTCATGAAACCAAGCAGCGCACACAGCTCTGTGTCACAATGCATGATGTGTGAATAACAGCTGTTAGCTAATAAAAAGTGCAACACAAATTCTTCTAAATGACTACCCGGGTCCTGAAGCCTTTTAGGACTCATTTCTACATTCTTTGCATGGTAATGGGCTTACGGGGGGGTTGGCCTAAACAGATGGATGGCCCTAGCCACCTTAGATTTTACTTTAGCCCAATCAGGTTTGGTTTGGGTGCTTGACCCTTTCCCTTCTGCCAGCAAGATCCTGCATACTAGTTGCCGTGTTTTCTTAAGGCTGAGTGCGTAAGCCCTAAGTCTTGTGGATTTATGAAATTTGTAGTGCTGAGGTAAAATTATGTATGTGCACAGAAAGTTTTAGAAATTGACCTGTACATTTACATGCTGCTCTTTCTGCAGTAAAAGTAACATGCACTCAATGATTAGAGAACATATGTGGCCTATACACTCTAGGACACGCAGTCTGAGGGTTAGAGGTTATGTGTCTTGTGCAGTATGGGATTAGGGATGTGTATGATTTCTGCTGTCCATGATTAGAGGCTATGTGTGTCTACGTCAGTCTAAAATTATTATTATTATTATTATTATAATAAAGGATTTATATCACGCCAACAGTTTGTGCACCGCTTTACAAAATGGGAAATTACTGTGGATGTCTCACCTGTACACTCTGTGCCTTGTGGATTGGTGCTGAATCCTGCAGAACATGCACATCGGTAACTGCCCACTGTGTTCTCACATCGTCCACTGGTGCAAGGGCTCGGCCTTTGCCGACATTCATCCATGTCTGGGTGAAAAAAACAAAACAGAGAATGTGCCATTTCCAGGACAGACTTCAACAAACAGTACTCAAGGACTGAACACATCTCCTCCATTACAGAAGAAAATGTTGTGCTATGTCATGGGTGCAATTTCTTCATTAGCAGGTCCAGAAAACCTAAATCTATCAATAATCAGATTGATATTTTCGAATAGATTTTCACTTAAGGCATAATGTCCTCATTGTCATGAGTCTGATATAGTAAGACAGGGCAGTGAAATTATCTGCAGTACTTAACATAGAATGTCACGTATAAGTGCAGCTTGCATAAAATTAAATTTGATAGTACTCAATTATTCTTTTCTTCTTAAAGAAAAAAAAAGATAGTAATTCCCAAAACAGGGTCCTCAGGCATCAAAGGCAAAGATACCAAAATGCCACCCACACCATTTCCAAGATGGGGCTTGCAGATACAGTGGCCAGGTCACTGCAGGGAACAAAAATGATAGCCGGTGTGCACTAAAAATAGGGTTATTGCCTTTTGGTCCAAGAACAACTAAAATGGGATGAAGGGAAGTGCTGGAGCATGGTTAAACCAATGTGATTTACTGTAGTTGTCATCAGCATGGTAAAACAGATCCAGGTTTCAGTTTAATAGCTGATTTCGCTGTGCTCTGTTTATCAGGTTGTAGTGTCAGCGCATTGACAGCAGATGTCTGGTGACTACACCGGGTGAGCTGTGCTGTCCCAGTATAATCTGCAGGATGAACTATTATTTGGTAGCTTGGTCCTTCACAGTGCAAATATGGCCAGGATGATGCTGAGGCAGAAAAGGCTCCTGCCCCAACTATTTCTTTACCCTCATCCCCATCCAGCAGAATGTCCAAGGTAGGATCCTCTTCTACTTCTGCCTCAGTCCAGTATTGATGGAGGCTGTCATTGTTTACCTCTCCTTTTGAAATTGCTAGTGGCTTGGCTGTCTCTGACTTCAATAAATAAGAAATAAATTGCAGACCCAGGGTAATTATACAGCAAGTGAAGACAGAGAAAAGTCTGAGCTCCTGATCTGCAAACTTGTTCCCAATCAGTGATTCAGAACGTTCTATGCTGAGGATCGTGGTTGTTCAAAAAAATGTAATAATGTGTATCCTCCCTAGCTGGAAGCATTGGACACGATTCCAGAGGACCACTGGGATCATACCATGTTGTGATCTCTATTATTTCTTGTTGCACTCACGTTTCTCTTAAGCACTGTATTATCTGAGACTGCTGTGATTGTTTTGTGAGATGACAAATATGATGTGTGCATGGTGCTTTTTTGACCATTGTGTTTGTTGGTTTATGTTCTTTAGTTTTTTTTTGTATATGTTAAGGTCCATGTGTATGGCAATCTCCTTTTCCTTTTTTATATTACTGCTTTTGTATATGCCATTATGTGATTGTCAATGGACTTTGTAGTATTGTTTAATAGTAAAACTAATAAAACAAAGTACTATGCATTTGGAGCATGTCAGCCAAGAAACTAGCATTTTACAATGGAGAGGTTAGCAATGGCAGCCTACATATTATTTCAAACTCTCTTTGTAGACTGCTGATCAGCATTGGTTAACACTTTGCTATCTCCCGGTGTGATTAATGCTGTGCAAGCTGTGCCATCTGTCTATAACACAGACACCAATCAAACACATCTGCGTATCATTGATTTCCTTATACACATGACCCTTGTTGGGAGCATTGGGAAAGACTCAGCGAAAGACTCCATTATCATTAAGAGCAGACTTCCAGGCTGCACATCCAGCGTCATGGGCTCATTCTTGTGCGACATGACTGGGGGAGCTGCCAGATAGAGTTTGTTTATTTCTTCAACTGATCAACATTTTGCATTTTATAGCCTCTAACGGGAAACCAGAAACCATGAGAATGCATTTAGTTGGATTTTTGGACAAAGCATTCTAAATATGAAATAAGCATTTAGCAAACCATTTAATGGACCGCTGGGTGTCCAACAGCAAGGGGAAGTGAGCAATCCAGCCAAACACATATGGACTCATTTATTTAAAAAAACAAAGGAAAGAAAATAAATCCTATTCCCTGTTGCAATGAAGCAAATAGCTCTGGCCTGATTGGTTGCATTGGCCAACCATTTTACTTTTATTTTCCACAGTTTATGTTTATACATTTGCCTATTCCTGTTATGTGATTAGGAAAAATGCTAATCTGTAAAAACTGAATTCCAGGCCAGGTACACCTTTGGTATGGTTATCGATCACAAGGACAGACTAGCAACACCAATCTCAGTTAAAGTCCTGATCAATTAAATGTACCTGCAGCTTTAGGTTTTAGAAATACACTAATGGCTTGTTTGGTTTACCTGCCCACCAACGTATTGGGCAGATGTTACATTGAACCTGCCCCCTAGAGAGCATCATCATGCTGGCCTAGGGTCAGAATATATATACTGTAAATTATCTCAATTTGCCATCATCCAAGAACTATGTAGTAGATTCCAGAACAGAATCCAGATGAATCCTGCGTAACTTGCTCTATTTCTGCTTGATATTTTACCAATTGGATTCAAATTTCTAAAGCAAGCTTGAAATTATTGATGCCTGTTTAAAAAATATTTGGCACAATGATACTTCAGGCTTTGTATTTTTCGGTGTCGGCAATGGGTGTATTTGAGAATACATTTCATATTTTCATAAAGGTAAGAAAAAAGGGTTCACAGATCACCAGATTAGAACACTGCAATGGACCGTTGTACTACAGCAATCCCTGGATAAAAAAACGAATTCCTGAGCAGCAAAATTGGGTTGCCTCTATAAATTTCAGGGTTTAAATTTCAACCCAGACTTTATTGTACCTTCATGAGTTTTTAGTTTTGTAATAAAAAAAAGGTGTGGCCTCTATTATAACAAAAGTGTTGATGTCATCATTGTTTGTATACAGTACAAGAATGGCTTGGTTATCATTAGACAGGTTTAGGCAGGTATGCCCCTATTTGTGCAGTCATGAGAAATCATAAAATCTTACCGATACAGTGGGTGCCCTGCGTATTCAACCAATAACCGTTGTTGCATACACAGGTGTAGCTGGCAGGACGAGGCTCACAGCGCCCAGGACCGCAGATCTGTGGGTTCAGCTCACATAAGTTTGACTCTGAAAAGCAAAAACCAGCATCATATGAATAGTGTATTTTCCTTACTAAAGCACAAAGGTTCTTCAAATATATCAAATAAAACTTGTTTTTCTAATTTGTTTTATAAGGTCCCCTTTGTTAGCTGCAGACTCCATTTTTGAGGAACTAACCAATATTTGCCTCACTGCAGATTTGTTCTCTTTGAAAGATATCAGGAAAAGTATATTTTAAGGGTTTGTGCAATCTTTTGTGTGAGGTGCCCATACATGTGCTGACACGGTCTTGGCTATGGAAAATCTAGTCTGAAACTTTTCTGACTGTCCACTGTGAAAGCTGGACATGCCAATATACAGAATATGTTTGGAGTTCTCACAGAACAACAAGATTGTGTGGACACCAGTAGAATTGGATGTACAAGGGCTCCATATAGGTACAGATTAGGCCATTGTAGAACTGCAACTTCTGTCCTGGCCATTTTTAGCTGAACATGTTTATCATGTCTATCTGAAAAGTTTTTGAATGTCAGAGAAAGAACTATACATGACCTGATAATTGATACAGTAGGTGTAAAACAGTATAATCTGCCTAAAGCTGACCATACAATGTACAAAGACTGTACAAGCTCCTTTAGATCCACCTACAACTATGTACTGCAGAGGCCTACCCTATTGTAATGCAAGTGACCACTATACTAACTATTCTAGCTACAATGCTCATTGCAACTCCATCATTTGTAAGGTGTGAGGTTGTTCCTCAATTAGTCTGTTTGTATTATAACAGATGAAGTAGAAAAGGAAGGAGAATACTTCTCTGTCTCTTATCCTGTTCTGCATTGTTCTTACCACAGTAAAAATACTCTAAATACATTGCCAGTGTCACTGAACTACCACTAGCAGTCAGTTACTGCAGAACGCAGCATGAGCTGAAGCATCACAGGCAGAGGGGAAAGAGAGGTAAACGTTAGAAATTAATCTGAAGGCTATATTCAGGGCCGGCCGCCTAGGCCACACACCCTAACTAGGGTGCAGTTAGGGCTGGACCCTTTCACTGTGGCAGTGGGCCTGTTTAAACGTACTCTGTTTGCAATTGTAAAACCGGCTGCTGGCTTTACAATGGAAGCAGTTCCGGGGTCAGCTGCCGCCAGATCGCTTCCAGAGGCCAGTACAGTGCCTGCCCCACCCAACCGACCGACCGACATCCCCGGCTTGTTTTCCCTCCTGTGTCTATCTGCCTTTCTCCTCCCCTCTCTATGGGACCAGGAGCGACACTGATTGCATCACTTCCGGTCCCGTAGCTGTCATTGCTCGGCTGCTGAAGCCAAGCAATAAGCTATTGGAGTGTGATCTGGAAAGGTGACACTAAGGGTCTTATGCAATCCGTGATGGGAGGAAAGAGCGGTGCAAGTAGCTGGTCTTGCCCAGGGCGCAAAATAGTCTAGCACTGGACATGGCTATATTTACACACCTAAATGTGTACTTTGGCATGCAGTTTAGGACTTTTTTCATTTTTAAATAAATACTCCATTTGAATCTACTTAAATAATAATTTGATGGTCAAATGCACCCCAAAAAAGTCTTCACACTTACCCCGAGGAGGTGACTCAACCTCAGTATCCACATGTTCTGGGGTAAAGGTAGCAACAGGTCTTTCAATTGTAAATGAAGGTCTGTTTATCTGTATTTGTGTCCTGTCCAAGCTAGAAGTCTGTCTTGTGTCAGATGTCCTTTGGTCCGGAGCTTGACCTCTAGCCTGTTCTCGGTCGGGTCTCCTCTCATCAACAATGAAACGACCTATGAATGCAGGCATTGTGATGTGACTTGGCTTTTTGGGGGGGAAAAATGAAAACATACAAAACAGGTACAGACAATGTGCCCATAGGCGGAAGGGGGTATTGTTATATACAATACAATAGTGGAGCCACAGCTTGGCTTCCTTGGAGACCAGTCTGCCATCATCGCAGTTCATGGACAACTCTGGAACTTGCTTTGTGTATTTATTTTTTATAAATTCCACACAAGTACGGTCATTGGGGCTGATATTTGACATTCACCTAGTGAAGAGCAAATTAATTTGAAGAGCAGCCAGTTCACTGCAGATTTTTTTTTTTTAAACTCTCCCTAATATACAAACACAGATTTGTCCAGTCTACGGAGAACCATGGAACTGATAAATCACAAGTGGGAAAAATCTAAAAGTGAGGAATCACTGATTTTCCTGATTATCAGTTTTTGTCAAAGTATTTTTTTTCCATTTGTATAATGAAGATATATACCTTAGGGTAGAGCTGGACAAAGCCCAAGAGGAACATCTGCAATGCACATAAAACACTACAAATGGAGTCTGACTATTGGGATCATTGTCTATAGCTGTCTATGAAATTACAATTGCCTAGCTATTTAAAAATGTCTGCTGACAACTAGACTGGGTTATCTGATTTCTAAATTCCACATTGGCTTATTCAATCATACATTATAGTGTTCCTTCATGAATCCTTGTGCTAAAGATAATAAGGCATTGTCCGCAGCAACCATTTTTAGCTGGTGATTTTCTATTGCGATTTTAAAGCAAACATCAGATTAGCTAGTGACGGCAATATAGAATATGTTACTTTCCTCAATTTTTCATTTAGGAGCCTTGCACATTCAAAGTGGACCTGTCAGTAAGATTACAAGCCTGCATGAATAAATTCCTGACATATCACACGATACAGTATTTAAATAATTTTTCAAAAACCTAGCTACCTTTTATCATTAAAAAGCAGAACCTGAGCTCCAGTGACTTTGCCTATGCTGAAAAGATGTAATCAGTCTTCTGCATGCAGGAAGAAGCATTTCTTCAGTCTCCTCTCCTGGCTGAGAAATTGTAACTTTGTAGCAAGTCACAGAGTGGGAGACTAAGCCCTGGTGCACACCTAGGCGGCACCGTTTTTGTGCATTTGTATGCGCGTTAGCAGCACGAGATTATTTGAGCCTTTATGCACATTGTGCATATTTGTATGCGCGTTTTAACGTGCGTACATGAAGACGTGCGCTTTGATTGGCAGCTCATAAACCATTGTGGGCAATGAAAGAACGCTCACGAAAATGTGCAACATGCTTTTGTTGCGCGTTTCCAATGAAGTCTATGTGGAGGAAAAGCGCTTTTAACTGCCCAAAGAAGCTCCTGTATCTTTTCAGGCATATGGCGGTTTCCTGCTAGGTATTTTTCTGCTCAAGCGTGAACCAGGGCCATTGAAAATCATGGGATTTCTTGTGTTGGGCAGTTAAAAGCGCTTTTCGAACTGCTCAAAAACGCCTAGGTGTGAACCAGGGCTGAGAAAGGGACTGCTCTGTGTCACAAACACAGCTAAGAATTTCACAGGTAACAGACTTTAGATAGTTGTGTCATCTCTGAGAAAGCATCTCAGTCCAAGAAGTAGATGCTAACGCCTGAACTAAGATGGTACCATCCTTTTGGATAGAAAAGTAGATGAAGCATTTTCGGGGGGGCGACCTATGATCTCTGCGAGAGGTAAATATACCTGTAAGGCTAGGTTCAGACCTGAGCGACACCCGGGACTGCGCAATCGTGTGCTAGTGCACACAGCGGTTGCCGCACGACTCCATTGATTTCAATGGGGTTACATCCGTGTGGCAATCGCTAAAAAAGGTACATGTACCTTTTTTTGCAACACACGGATTTTTTTAGCTGCGATCGTGTTCAATTGCACGGGCGGAATCGCGGCTGGATTCCCCCAGTAGTGAACCTAGCCTAAGTGTTATACTGACACATTATTGCATGCACTTAACATTAAAAAAATATAAGTCAATGTCCACTTTGGTGTGCAAAATTATGTAATATTCACCTAATTCTTTAATATGCAGACCATGTGAAAAGAAACTTATGGGTACTTAAAGGGTGCTAATGTTGGTGGTGAACGGAAACCGGTTATAAATCTATAAAACTTGGAGTCTTACTTGTGACAGGCCTCTGGGGTGGTGCGGCAGTGGCCACAACCGAAGTCCTGGATCCAGGTTGGAGCTGTACTGGTACCCTGGCCGGATCTGTCCCCACATAACGGTGGTTAATTTTCAGGTCTGATGCAGAATAATGGTAACCAGGCCCAGCAGGGCAGGTCTCCTTAAAGCCATCTACAAAACATAACCAGCCAAATGACAGCAAATATTTGTTAGTGTGTAGTAACATTTGCTTGGCCAGACCTAATAATAAAATCCACAGATGATTTCTTACCTGTACCAAAAGAAGGACAGCTTTCACATGCTTTGCCCCAAGCTTTGCCCACGCGACTGCAGCAACAGATCTGTTTGGTGATGTTGCGGAGGATAGGGAGAGAGCAACCGCCATCCCGCAAAATCCGAAAGCAGGGGCCTTTAGCTTCTGAGATCACATGATGGGCTGAGATAAAATATGACTGGTTAAACTGCAAATCCAAGAAAGTAGAATCAATCGGTAAAATATTAGAAGAACAAAATCCATCTCTAGGAAATAAAAACTTGTGTGTGGCTTCAGTCCATCTTTACACCCCCTCCGAAGCTGGGTCTCATCTGTTTCTACTTCTGGCTATTAGGGAGCTTTATCTTTTACAAGAAATAACAAACTCACTCACATATACAGCTGCTTCTTGCGGAATCCAGAAGATACCCTTCTTTGCACATACATACAAAATTCCCTCTAATGTTGGTGCAGTCTCCATTCTGACACACGGCTGGATCTTTACACTCATCAATATCTGTTTTGAGAAGAAGGGTTTTAGAGGAGGTCTTGTTTAATACAGGTAAGAATGAGATATATGGAATGTGTAAAATGGCTTACCTACACATGTTCCATTATTTTTCTCAAAGCCGCTGGGACAGGAGGTTTCATGGGAAATGCCAACCACACCACCTTCTGTGGAAGTAGAAATGGTGCATCAAGCTGATTTGACATGTGACTGGACATGCACTATAGCCAAACTTCACATTTGCAATAAAATAAGCATACCTAGCTCAGAATATTATTTTCAAAGGTTGGTTTCAGTTATATGTCTATATACACAGTTGAAATATATATAGTAATTACTTGTAGTGTAGAAGATTCTTAGCCCTCATGCATGCAATTGCATGAGGCAGTCCAATGTAAATTGTGAGTGTATTTCCAGCCCCCAAGCTGCAGCATTCAGCCGCCCATAGTAGTGAATAGGTGTAAGCAGCTGTACGGGGGTTTACACTGCTACTTACTAAACCTGCGCATGCGTACAGGTGTACAAGCCTCAACACAGCACTGAGTTCCCTAACGGTCTACACCATGTGCACATCAGCTTATATTGCACTCTCTCTGGAAGCCTGTAGTAGTCACCTGGAAGTAAAGTAGCCACCGCTCCAAGCTTGCTCCCATGATGGACTACAATATCATGTTTAGTTCAGTTTACTAATTTGTATTGAGATTGTAGTCCATCACGGGAGCAGTTTGGAGCGGTTGCTACTTTACAACACACACGGGGACCATGGGGAACAAACGTAGCCACCCTCCAGAAGGAAGGACAGTGTCAGCACCAATTCAGAGATGATTTGAGGATCTACAGCTGAGTGAGACAAATAAGATACATTTTTGTTAATAGTTAAGTTACTTGAATACATTTTTAAGATTTGCCACAAAATCTAGGTCATGTCGGGTGTTAGCTAAAGAGACCAACTACAATGTTTTAATACAGTAGATGGTGCCCATTAGTATCACCTATTGTGTGTCTGGTTATTCTCCCTTGTGTTTCGAAGGCTGTGGTCAAGTGGGGATGTTCTATCATATTTGGTGGACTTGTCCTGTGCTTCAGCAATTCTGGGTAGAATTCTATCAAATGTTAACCATATTGATAAGCTTTGGGGTTTCACTGCAAGCGAAATATGCACTCCTCAACTTTAGACCCCTATGCATACTGGGTATGCATAGGGGAACAAACTAGGTAATTACATTAAAAAAATTATATTTTATTCCATCAATATATATTAATGTTATAGCAATGTCTTAAAATCTTGCATTTATCAGAACGATGGGCCTAAGCAGAGACACTGTCATCAGAATAAATGTATCCTAGCAGTTCTAGCTTTACAAGAGTCTGTGGCACTGTTTTCATCTCTGCATTTCTTCATCCAGTTTCAGCACTGTTGGCAATAATGTCAGAACTCTTTATGCATTTTGAATGCAGTTCACATACATCTATCTACACCAAAAATGCAAAAGTGCGAACAGGACCTACAAAACAAAGGCCCTGTTTTACATTTAATAATACTGCTTGAGAGGCAACTGTATCATGTCTTAAGTGCTGTCATGGTTTGAAGAATCAGGCCTAAACGGTATAACTTTAGGAAGTTGAGGAAAACGTAGTACATGAGGAAAATGATAAATTGCCTACATGAGAGACAGGATCCTCTTGCAAGTAAGCTTATACAGATTTTTCTCAGTTTACAAAGAGCATTGCTTTAGAATGTCATCTACTGAAATAGGATAATAAATATTAGCCTGCCCTTTTGCTAAACTTTAGCATAAAATCCTCTTTTTGGAAGAATTATTGGAGGTTTGTCCCTCAGTGGTTAACAAATACAAGAGTGGGAGACCTCTGCTGAACCCAATAAAGTTCCCGTCTGTTTTGCAATCACATTTATCTATCACAGATGGACACAATCTCTGGGCTATTGGTTAGGACAGATGTGCTTTTGGCATGGGTCTCTGAGTAGGATCATGTGGGTGGTTTCTGGAAGACGACCGAACCCCCTCAAAGGTTTGGCTGCCTGCTTCTTTTAGCCTTGGGTTATAAATGATGGCACCGGTAATTTATACTCAGCACCATTTTTAAGTGTCCCCATCCGTCATCACTCAGGGACATTGTGTGTTGTTCAAGTTATTCATTTTTTTTAACTTAGCATGCAAAAAAAGGAACATTTATACAATCAGAGGTCAGGAATCCTTGTAAACAAGATTGCAGATTGTTCCGCGGAATGTGCAACATGTGTATAACAAGAGGAGAGAAAATAAACCTCTGTGTTTCATGTGACTCTACATTTGTTGTTATTACGATCATAAAATGGGTACAAAATAGCAATGCTGGAACAAGGTTATATTTTTCACAAGAGCAAATCCATGTCATAGGACATTATACACATTCAAAGCTGGTTTACACTCGTTATTACAGCAATGGGCCTACTAACAAAGATTTAAAGTCCAACTCCCAAAAAATGTTTTGTTTTGTGTGCAGTGGGCAAGAGTTAGAACTCCCTGTCAGGTTGTTACAGTTGCGTGCATCCCCATGGAGGAGATTTCCTCTCTAAATGTCTCCATAACTGGGGGTCGCAGGAACAGGAAAGGAGAGGACATTTTTCCAATAAGGTCAGAACAGAAATTTACATTTTTAAGTTTACATTGGAAAAAAATGTAACAACCCCTGTCTACCTTCCTGTTTTAATCCCCCCCATTTTTTCTCTTGGTGTCAAAAAGATGAAAAGTACAAACTCTGCAATGGAGTCCCAGGCAGCAATACGCACTGACGGAAGTTCTAAGTAAGTCCCCACTCTTTTAAAACCATGAAAAATTTTGTAGCTGGAGATGAACAAGCCATCTCCGTCAACCTATATGTGCATACATGCTAAAATCATGGTACAGCACTGCTGTCTATCTCCTCCAGGGGCTTACTCCAAGCACCTATTTTGTTACTTGTCCATAACCTTTGCAATGTCCTATCCACACACCTGCTAACTGGTCTTTTGTCATTTACACCAGCCATAGAGCTCATTATGATAAAACGAGCATAGGAGCATCCAGTGTCCAGGCTAGGTTCACACCTAGGCGATTTATCGTGCGGATTGAGTCGCGTGATATCGCGCAAAACACACTTTCACATTGAAGTCAATGGAGGCTGTTCACACCTTCGCGGTTTGTCATGCGGACGAAATCGCCTGTCACACAAAAAGGTACAGGAGCTATTTTGGGGCGGTTGTCAAAGAACGGTCGCGCAAACGAAAGCGTGCTACAACCGCGCGAAAACCGCTCAGTTGCCTAGGTGTGAACCTAGCCCTAGACTGCAACATCATAAACTTGAAGCAAGCCACAAGGTAAAAAATTGCAGCAGTGGACTGATCTGTGTTAGACACTGTTAAACAAAGCCAAGAACTGCACAGCCACTAGGGTTTACATTGCTGCATCATGTCTGGCCCAGTATTTCAATCAGGTAAGATGATGACCCTAGATGTTGCTTGAATAAAATATGGTGCTGCACTCGTGGAGAGAAAAGCAGGTAAAGGGGGCGTACCTAGAGCTCTGTGAGAGATAATACACTCAAGGAAGTGTTACACTTACATTTTAGTTATCACTTATATTACTTTACCCTGCTTGATAAACCTCGTGAAAGCTGGGACCCACCGCAATCCTTACCCGACACTGGCAACATTAGTCCTTTCCTCTGCTCAATACCAACAGCTGGCACTTAATTGTCAACAGTTTTCTAATGCCATATATAATCTTATACAACCTTCAATTTTCTGCTGGCATTTTGACTGACCTGCTCCTGGATTCTGCATTTATCTTTTCCATTATTGGTAATCAAGCATACAGAATAATTTACTGAAAGAGTTTATCAGTGTTCCCCATTGGTAGCTAGACATCTGGAAAAAAAATCCTTCATTTTTTAGACCCTGCCTATGTTTGCTAAGAGGGCTAGTAAGCATACCTTGGTACCCGGGGCAGGGTTTACAGTCATGAACGCCCCAAGCTATTCCATCTTTTCGACAACAGGCTTCCTGAGTCCTCAGGCCAGAGTTAGGCAAAGCACACTGTGATAGAAGCAAAAAAAACCTCAATAAACATGATGGGAGAGCAGCTGTGCTGGCAGCCAGTAGAAGTATGACATAGCAAAGGCTCATCAAGCACTAGACTCAGTGTCCTCCTCATGGGATAGCAGTAAAGCTGCTGTCATTCAAAACGTCTCAGTTCTACTTTTCCAGGACTGTGCTGTTACATAACTTGGACGGTACATGATCACTCATGAAGGGGGGAAGAATCTTTGATGAGACCTCAGTAGATAGTGTGGTCATCTTGGAAATCTTGTCTGCATTAATCACAGGGGATATCTTTGTAACATCTGAAAAAGGAACCGAGTCTTTGTGTGAAAGTGTCTGAGAGGAGTACTGTATGTGTTGTTTAATCCTAACTCAGAAGGGCCACTAAGATTCATTGTTCTTATTTGTTGCCATGAGCATACAGCCCATATATCTATTTAACTCTTTTGAACATTAAATGGCTGAACATTGTTTACAGAAGAACCTGAAAATGGTTTTAACTATCTATTCAAAATAGAAAAAAGTTTTGGCTCTAGATATACTTTAAGTTCTCTAAACAGCAACTTCAGACAGCAAACCAGGATACACTATATCTCGAGTAGAGTATACATGACATCAAATGAATTCTCCTTCTCTGCAGTCTCTTCATGTATGGTTTGGATTTTGAAGAATGACATGAAGAGCGTAGAGAGCACTCCAATCTTAATTCAGTCCAGGTTTTAGGCCAATAGCCAATGTGATTGCCTGCACCTGTAGGAGTCTAATATGGTCCGGCTGTTACCAGCTGAGTGCGCTCTGTGATTGCTATTAGGGCTGCCAAGGAAACTGCACTCACATGTTGTTTGGCCCGCTTGCGTAAGAAGGTTTCCAGCTAAACTTTATTTACTATGTATAGTCATGGTTACTGTTTTCCCCAGAAAAAACAACTTGATACTCTAAGCATAAAAATAAACCCTGGATTTCGTACCCTAGTCTATTTTGTATTAGTCCTATCATTTGGAATAGTATTTTTCTGTGTAAGAGTATTCTGTTTAATACCAATAGTACATATGCATAAGGTAAGTGTGATGGATTTAGGGGTAATGAGTCTTAAACATTTTGGTTAGGGTTCCACTGGGGAGGTGGGGGGATAAAGGTTAAAGTTAACTTGTACTCAATTTTTTAATTTGGGAAAAGTCCTGCCTAAGAGCAGATGCTACAACATGTCTGCTGTTACCTTTAAACTAGAACGGAAGCCAAACCTTTATATTTTAGTTTTGGATAGAATAAGGGAGGCTTATAACCCCTGTCAGCTTTGTTTCCACCATCTGTGTCCTATTGGGGAGATTTCCCTTTACTTCCTGCCTGAGAGCAGGAAGTGAGAGGAAATCCCTCTAAAGTGAGGGAAATCCTTGGTGGTCAGCAGGGTCACCAGAAATAGTGTCCCCCTTTTGGAAGATTTCCCATATATTCCTGTTCTGATGTGAACCCCAAATTTGGGATTTTCTTTCACTTTTAGTGATAACGATCACCAGAACATAAAGAGGGGGTGAATCTCCCTAACGGGGACACACACAGCGATAAAAACCTGACAGGTGTCCTAATCCCTCTCCACTCTAACCATGTCACATGACAATAAAAAAAAGGGTATCAATAAATAATTTGGTATCTGTGAGACTAGTATTGGTACTTGTACTTGGTCTGGAAAAAATGGTATTGGTGCATCCCTAATACACAATATTACCAAAAGTATTGGGACACCTCTCCAAATCATTGGATTCAGGTGTTCCAATCACCTCCATGGCCACATGTATATAAAATCAAGCACCTAGGCATGCAGACTGTTTCTACAAACATTTGTGAAAGAATGGGTTGCTCTCAGGAGCTCCGTGAATTCAAGCGTGGATGAGCGAGTTTGGGGTGGAGGAACTTGACTGGCCTGCACAGAGTCCTGACCTCAACCCGATAGAACACCTTTGAGATGAATTAGAGCGGAGACTGCGAGCCAGGCTTCTCATCCAACATCAGTACCTGACCTGACAAATGTGCTTCTGGAAGAATGGTCAAACATTCCCATAGACACACTCCTAAACCTTGTGGACAGCCGTCCCAGAAGATTTGAAGGTGCTATAGCGGCAATGGGTGGGTCAACTCAATATTGAACCCTACGGATATATATATATATATATATAAAACAAATCATACATTAAAACAGGAATGCACAAATGCCAAGAGCCACGTAGCCAATGCTTCTTAAACATGACAGCTGCCTCTTAACTTTTGAGTTTTTCTCCAGTCTAGTCTTGGAGCTGGAATAGTATCTGTACTTGTACTATCTGTGCATCCCTAGTCACGGCTAAACTCCTGCAACTCCTGTCCAGTGAGAGATCACAGGCCATTGAGGCTAGCTCATTGGACAGCAGAATGTAAACTGGCAAGGCTTAGTCATAAAGTCAGGAAAAGTCAGGCCACAATAATAAACCTAAACAGGAGAGGGGCACAGAAGAAGCGTTGCTGTATACAAAAAAATCACAGATCGGTATATCGAAAGGGAAGTCTCATAAAAGCATCTTTATTAAGTTTCCTTGGAGGTTACATATCAAACAGCACCCAAAGGCTGACACATGGCCTTAATCACAGCAATATCAAGCATCACGGGTTTTGGCTGTTATGCGGCCTTATCAATTGGCAGTGTTTGATATTTAACCTCCGAAGAAAGTTAATAAAGCTTTATGAGACATCCTCTTTGATGTGCTGGTCTCTGATATTTAAGGATAGACTGTTGATGGAGTAGGTGGATCTTTACATCCATATATTTTCAGGCTGATACATGTAACATTATTCGTTTTGTGATTTGTGTGGTTAGGTATGGCTTTATTTTTAAAAGTTTAAGGGGGGGGGGGGGTATATATACACTTTAAGGTTTAGGTTATAGGGCATTATTATGTTAAAGTGGGACTATAGTTTAAAGGGAAAAAAATGTGAGCAGAAAGTTGTTGTTTTTTGCAGGAAAAACATATTGTGGGCAGAATTTATCAAAACTGGAGCAGACAGAATCTGGAGCAATTGCCAATGACAAAAAAAATGGCATCTCTCTCTGTTTGTACAGTTAAGCTTTGAAAATGAAAGATCAAAGCTGACTGGTTGCTATGGGCAACTGCTCCAGATTCTATCTGCTCTAGGTTATCAGGCAGATGCAAACTACAATGCAGCGCACAGAACAGGGAAGTTAGAAGTAGGCAAAGTACAGTGAGGTGTGCGGGATTGCTCGATGCTGATTGGCTGAGAAGCCAGCTTCCCAGCCTATCAGCATGGAGCCGGCCAAACAGCATGGAGACGGCTTCCTGGGCAAACAAGAATGCCGGGCGGTGTGTATTGACATGCCGCCCAGCTTCCTGATTGGCTGGGAAGCCAGCTCCATGCTAGTGGAAGTACTGGTATCGGTACTCGGTATCGGCAAGTACTGAATGATAAATATCAGTACTCGCACTTGATACCGAAAAAACGGTATTGGTGCATCCCTAGTGTGTACACATGCGCAGCGCATGTGTACACACAAGAAAGTGAACTCATTGGAGTTTATTCAGGAATGAATGAATTCCTATGAGCATGTGCAGGAGTTAAGTCATCCTAGGGCGGCCAAACAAGATGGTCGGTGATGCTGATTAACCAGAATCCAGGAGTGTTTAAAGAAAAACTCCAGGCAACAAGCAAGAATAATCACTTAATTGCTAATGCCGTTCTGCAATCCAGTCCGATTCCAGATTTTATGCAAGTACAAGGTTAGGCTGCTTTGGGCAGTATAGTCTTCCTCTTTTTGGATATTTTTAAAGCAAATATGGGCTTTAGAAATACTTTAACATCTCTACTACATTTCTATACCTGTCCATTCTCTAGTCGTTTGAAGCAGTACCCGTAGCCAGATGTTTCTGTGTAGCCATTGATCCTGGGGCTACTCTGAGCCTGTACACTATACATAGGGATTCTGATGCCCTGATTTGGTGAATGAGCACGGCCATCTACTCTCTCCACCTGATGGATGTTTACGGAAGCCTCTGGAGGGTGTTCAACATGGACCTTTACCATAGAAGCAATGCCTGTGAGAAGAGAACCCACATCAGAGCAAATCTCACAGAATCATCCAGGAAAACAGCAAAAGCATGTAAAAAAACACAATTGCCTTCATTTAACATAATCAGCTTTAGCTTGTAATTTTTTTTCAGGAAGCACACTAATTTTTTTCAAAAGACAAAGTGTCATCTTTTAGGAACTGAAATGATAAAGCAAAGATTCCCCCAACCCCCTCCATATCATACTGATGAAACAAACCCCAAATGCAGGCAAGAGCATCTCCCAATGGCCTGGTCTATTGAGTAATTACTTTATGCATCATTCATCTCCCAGCACTGGGTGCATGCATGGGGTTTGGCCACTTAGAACTATCTATATAGCTGTACTACATACATGCAAGAGGAGCTGACAGATTGATTTCCTGGGGGTGGCTGTTGCATCAAGTAAACAGTGCCAGTAGACTGAACAATGAGAAGGCACTTTGGTCTTCACCTAACCTCGGTTTTCATTGCTAAGTCTTCTGGACAGTGTTTATGTGACACAGCAGCTCTCCCCATGCAGGCCATCTCTTTGTAGTTTGTTGTCCCAAGTAGGGAAGGTGGACAAATGTACTGTATTTTATATCATTTTAATTTTACCTGTATCATTCAATGAACGTATATGGTGGGCTTTTTAACTAATCTAAGAGGTCATGAACACTACTAAGAACTAGAGTTGGGCTCAATGGGCGTTCGGTGGTCTGTTCGACCGCTGAACGCCCCACAAGCCAAATGGCAGTGGGGACCCCACGTTTCCCCCCCCCCCCAATTTTTTGGGGTGGGTTTCCTCCTCAAAACTCCTAGCAGACCTTAAGGGTCTGGTATGACTTTGAGGGGGAACCCCACACACTTTTTTTTTTTTTTACACGGTAAGTATTTCTACGAGAACTTAAGGGTCTAGTATGACTTTTGGGAGGAACCCCACGCTTTTTTTTTTTAAATGGGGTCCCTCCTAACATTCCTACCAGACCTAAAGTGTATTGTTTGGGAGGGGGAACTCCACGCTTTTAAAAAAAGAATTTAAATTTTTTTTTTCTTTAGAAATGTCAGTTTTGCTGCAGCAGGTTTTATACATTGTACAGCTTTGCCACTTTAGTGGCAGGTTAAGGGGACCCGCCAGGCATGATATTTAAATTAATTTTTAATTTTTATTGTTACCCTTTACGTAATGGTAAAATCACTGCACCTTTAAAAACTGTATTTTTTTAAAAGTTTTTTTTTGATTGATTCCTGTCCCCCAGGGCAGTACCCGGATCCCCATACATCTTTAATGGCCGATAACTTGCATATAAGCCCTCTTAAAGGGGGCAATTGTTTTTGAAAGTTCTACCCCCACAGATTTGCATTGAGTTCGAGTTCTAATTTTTGGATGTTATAAAGTTCGAATTTAAACTGAACTCGGGCCTTTTCGGCTCATCACTCAGAACCTGGAAATTATGCTGTTTTGCTAATTTGAAATTTGAGGGCTTCTTCTTATTATTTATTTATTACAGGTATTTATATAGCGCTGACAATTTACGCAGCACTTTACATACACTGAGTGGCCAGATTATTATGACCACCTTGTTTTTTTTCTGAAGATATGGGCAAACAACGCGATTTTACAGCCTTTGAACGTGGGATGATTGTTGGCACTCGGAGCCATGGAGCGAGTATCAGCAAAACAGCAGAATTTGTTAAATGTTCAAGAGCAGCTGTTGTTAAAGTGTTTAAAGACTGGACTGTCAGCCGAAAATCTGGGTCTGATCGTGCGAATTGTGGCCGTCAGCGACTAGTCAATGTTAGGGCAGAACGGAGAGTGGCAAGACTGGTACAAGACAACAGAAGGGCAACAGTGCAGTGTCAGATTCCTCGCATCACCTTTCAACATCTCGTGGAGTCATGAGGCAGCCCAATGAAGTCATCTCGTGGAGTCATCTCGTGGCCCAACGAAGTACTGATGGGGTGGTCATAATAATCTGGCCACTCAGTGTAGTTGCACATTCACATCACATTGTTTTTCCATCTACTTCTTAATTTTGGACACCCAAATGACATTTTTTAAAGGACTGGAAGAATGCAGTGTGATTACCAGGTCATTTCTTTAATGTTTTTTGCACTCAGGTAGCAGGCATTTGCAATTTTAGCCTTTGGAAAATGTAGATCTCATATTAGGTTTACTCCCACTTGTTAACATTTACAATGCTTCTTGTTCCCATGAACAGGATTTTGTTTTATTGTTGCCAGGATTGCCAGGATATGGCTTAATATAACATTAACATGGAAAATGAGAGTAAAACTGGGAAAGCTAAAATTAGCCAACATTTTGGACCTCTCCTTGAACTTTTATGGCCCTTTTATATCTGTAGCAGGATAATACTTTTGATGTTCACCCAACAAAGTGTTCTGCTGATTAGAAAAGTTAACACACTGTGTAAAGATCAACAAAAAAGATGTCAAACAGCAGTGGAGGAAATACATTTGAAGAAATATACTTTACCGTCTTTTTCTGGCTTGTGGTTGGACAGAGGTAAAGTGTGCACAGATTTCTTTTGTGAATTCTGCTCCACGCTGCTGTTCTTTATGGTGTAAGCAGCTATCCCATTCCCAGGGGATACAGGAATCTGGCAAAACTTTCCTGTGAAGCTTGGTGGGCACAAACACTGGTCCTTTTTCATACATACACCACCATTCTGGCACAGCATTGGGCAGAGAACTGTTAATGGAAGAAAAACAGAGGTCATAAAAAAAATAAATACTTTTGAACTTTGGCACTCATAACAGTTCTCAGGAATTAGTGAGAGGTAATACTGGAAAGAACGTGGAATGGCATTCTGACATAAATCATAGAAAAATAACAGATAAGATGTGAGAAGCAAAATATGATAGATGTGTGTGAATTGCATATGTGCAGCAAAATGTTGCAGTCAATCAGCCTTCTGCCTTTATCGTCTAAAGGTGCTGAAGAAAGCTGGGGCCCTGGAGGCTGTCATTTATGTGCTCGGATAATAAACAGCTATGGTGAAAGATCCAGTTTGTGCTTTTTTCTTCATTTTGGATAGAGTTAATGTTCCCTGTATTTGTCATGGTGACCATTGTCACTGGAACTAAAACTGAGGGAAAATCCAACATTTTGAGTTGCCACCAGAACGACAATAGAAATCTTCCAATGGGGACAACAGTATCAGGCATTTCCCTCACTTTTAGGAGATGCTCTCTCACTTCCTGTTGTATCTACAGTACAAGAAGTGAAGGGAAATTTCCCAAATGGGACACACATAGCAAAAACAAATCCCCCCCAAAAATGGTACGGGTTTTAACCATCCCACTGCTTCAAATGTTTCCCTACTTAACTGCTACCAAAATTCCACATCAATCAGATCTGGCAATCATTGAAGCTGATGGGATATCCCATATGGGGTATGGAAGGTCAGACTGCAGCTTAGAAACACTGTAAAAACTATGTAGCTCTTGTCTCATGGTTCCGTATTGTGCAACATCACTCTGATACTCCAGTGTGTGTGGGTTAAACGTCAGTGGTCTTAGACAGAGAGTGGTGCTTGGAGCCAGGGAGGGCTTTTCTATGGGGCGCTGTTAAGCCCTGGCAACTGGGACACTAGCCTGAGATCCACAGCCAAAGGTCCCAGGTCTCGGATAAAAAGCTAAAAGGCAAGAACAAAGCTAATTTGACAAATCTTTAAACTGAGTGGTATTTATTTTTACATATCCCACATATAGTGAATAGCCCGTACAGCAGCCCTTCGGTTCGACTGAACCGAAGGGCTCAGGCGGCCGAAGGATCAGTCGAAGCTGCGGCTGGATCCTTTGGCTCAATAATGATTAACCCCATTAGTTTTATTGTACCTTGTGAACCGGAGTTTGGTTTTAAATATTGTAGCTGCAGTTTGGGTGGGAAGTTATATTTTTACATGTGATTTTATGATGTCCTAGGGGACATAAATCAAGGAGAGGCTTGGTTGCTTTTCAGCACGCTCCTTAGAGAGTCTCTGCGGCCCACGCACACATTACTGCATAGCGATATACGCGTGAGAATGATGGCAGCACACACTCTGCTGTAGGCCACCAGAACTAGTCAGCCTTAATCTGGTGACTATTCCACCCACAAAAACATCACAAGTGAGCAAGTCCCTGTGCACCGAACACCCAGTGACAGTGAGTGGAAGCAGAAGGAATAAGGGTAGGTCCAGGAGATTTTTTGGCCCACTAGATCTCAGTCCAAACATCCCTCCCACCCCTGGAGCCTTTACTGTGCCGCAGTCTCTGATGTAAAGCAGACACTAGAAGACACAGCATTGAAAATCTAAATGAGCCTGGGTGTGTGTCTAATGAGGTAGGGCGCATGGTTAACTCTTATAGCGTAAAGCAGTACAAATTCGTTTACATAAAGTTCTTGAAGCATTTCAACATTGTAGGCAGAAAATATAACATAAAACCATACTCACCTATTAAGATTTGAACGTAAACGTCGACCCAAAACCTACATTTTTTTAAAGAGTAGGACCCTGTCACTCGATCCGCGGCCCTTTAATACTTGCTGTGTGGCCCATTGCAGACCTCAGCAGTCAGTAGTGGTTGGTGGGAGCCTTTATTTGTAAAGGGCTGTAGTGGCAGTGATCTCTGATTGTCTCCGGCTGAAGGTCTCCAGTCTCCAACCACTCCTGTGGGATGTCTGCAGTCTCTGACCATCTCTGTTGGTACGTCTACAGGTTCTGAGTCATCTGTAGAATTATGTGCAGCCCTTTGGTGCTGTGAGCGATGCAGTTGCTGTCCCTCTACCTTATGATAATCTGGCAACAACTGAAGTAGGGAATGGTTAGAACCTCTGTCAGGTTTCATTGCAATCTGTATCTCCAGGGGATGCACAGATACCAAGTACCGTACTTGGTACAAGTACTTTTCTAGCTCCAAGACTGGATTAGAGAAAAACTCAAAAGTTAGGAGGCAAATGCCATTTTTAAGGAGCATTGGCTATGGGGCTCCTGGGATTTGTGCATTCCTGTTTTAATCTATGATTTGTTTTATGTATATACTATATACATAAGAGATGCACCAATACCATTTTTCATAACCCGCTGCCTCACTTCCTGATTGCCTGAAAAACCGGTGTTCTATCGAAAGAACACAAGCTTCACTTCCCCAGGCTGCCTGGCTTCCTAACTAATGAGGAAGCCGGTCGACGGATCATGAGGTGCCGCCCGGCTTCCTGATTGGTTAGGAAGCTGGCCAATCAGGAAGCCGGGAGGTGGGTCATGACGTGCCGCCCAGCTTCCTAAATTGGTTGCCTGGCTGCCTAGCAACAAGTAAAGCCAACCTCCCGGCTTCCTGATTGGAAAGGAAGCCGGCTCCAAACTCCCTCTGTCAGATGTAGACCTCCTTCTGACTGGAAGTTCTGGTCAGAGGTAAGTATCGGATCATTTGGGCAAGTACGAGTACTCATCCAAATACTTGGTATCGGCACCGATACCAACACTAGTATCGCTATCGGCGCATCCCTACTCATAGCAACAACAGCATCATAATTTCAGGACCTTCAAAAAATAATATCTGATTGTCTAGTATGTGTGAACTGCAGTCTGCTGCCTGTCTTATGGCCGTAGCCATTGAGAGATTCCAGAGTATATTTTATATAAGCATAGGTAAGAGGAAAGCAGAGAAGAATGACTGGCAGATGTTAAAGAATGTCCTTGGACAGTTGCCCATATATGCATAAAAGCTTGTTAGCAATCTGCCCTTATTAGAAGGAAAGGAGGGCGCACATGAAACACTCTGAAAATTAACAGGGAATATACAAGTCTATTGAACAGTTTTAGGGCTGTGGCCTCAGCAGTTTGGAAATGCTGGCCTGGCACTTAGAGGAGAACGCAGCCTGACAAGATCAGAACGTATAATGAACATGTACAGTTGTGTGCCAAGAATGGGCTGACAGACCGAGAGAAGGGGGAGAGCAAGGCAAGTATGTGATGAGGAGGAGTGTAGCAAAGGATAACGATGAACAATATACTGTATTAATATAACGGGACAGTGCAAAAAGCAATGCTGAAGTGCAAAGTGCAGTAACATAAGCCATCAATCAGCTTTTACAAGGTCAGATCAGAGAAAGATGAATTCCGATTGGTTAGTGTAGATTGCTGCCCTTTACACTTTAAAAGGTCATCTTGGCTTTTATTTACGGTTAATATTTAAGCTAGAAGGGTTAAAACCCCTGTCAGTTTATTTTTGCTGTCTGTGTCCCACTGGGGAGATTTCAATTCACTTCATTTTCCAGAGATAAGTAAAAGTAAATCTCCACAAACTTGGGGGAATTCCCCTTTACAACAGTTTACATGAACAGGTGTCCTCCTTGCAAGATTTCACCTGGCCTCTTGTTCTGGTGACAACTCTAAAATTTGGGATTTCCTATCACTTTTTGCCTCCAAGACAGTGGTCTCCAGGATAAATAGAGAGGGTTCTAATCCTTCCCTACTCTATGCCAAAACCAAAGCAAACAAAGTTTTGGCTATACAATATGCTACCCCTAAAAACTAATTAAAATCAGCTTACTTTAATTTGGTAACATTAAACTGCTGAACACTGATTATGTTTGGTTGGTATTGGCTGTTGCCTGTGGAAAATGTATTGTGAAATTGGGTTGGAAGTGGCTCTGGATCTGAAGCAGCCACAACGTCTGGTGTTGTAGCTTTGTAGTGTGAGTGTGGTTATTAGTCAACTCCACTTGCTCCACATACACTCTAGACACAAGGGGACCTTGGATGAAGCCTGCGAGCACAACAGATAACTGGGAGACGAAAGATTATTGGGAGATAAAAGATCATCAACAGGATAATTAAGTATAATGACGTTTTTTTCTATAACTGACACGTTTCAGTGGTCAAAAAAATCCTCCTACTTCAGGGCTAAACAAGTGTAATTAAATATATACCAACATATAATCTGCAGGTTTGGTAAAAATTGTGAAGAGGGAGCATGGAGCCAACCAATCAGGAAGCCGGGCAGTGTGTAATGACTTGTTGCCCGGTTTCCTGATACTGGAAGTTCCGGTGTCAGGGTAGGCAACGGGAGCACTTTGGCAAGTACGAGTACTCGACCAAATACCCAGTATCGGCACCGATACTAAAATCGTATTGGTGCATCCCTACCAGTGACCAAAAAAGAAATGAGGGTAAATCTCCACAATAGGAATATGGTTAAAAAAAAAACCTCTGACGGAGTTTCAAACCCTTCCCAGTTGTTATCCAAAACACTAAAAAATGGATGTTATCGTGTGATCTACACACCCTGTTCTGTTTATAGTATACCTCTAATCCAGTCATATATCTCATCCTTAAGGGCTGCACCAAGATCAAATTTGGGTTTAGTGAACCACACCTTACGGATCATAATTGCCAGTTTACTTGAAATTCTATCATAATAGGTATCGTGCAACTTGAGGACTTGAGCTGTGCGGCCTTGCTATAACCTCTGTATTATAGACTATAGAGCATGTAACAGTCCTTATTCCTGATGTAAACCTCACCACAGTTCTGCAGTGCCAGAATAACCATTCTCTCGGCGACACTGGTTTCCGGTGTAAGACGTTCGGATTAGTCAGCCTTGGATTACTTACATAGGTCATTAGTTATAATAATAAACCCTCTCAGTGAAATGTCCTCGGGGACGTATTTCAAACCTGGAGAGTGGTGTTCCGCACGTCAATCA